CACAGGTGACAGATCTCAAGTGCCTATTTTTCAAGATACATGGAGTCAAAGTTTTACTTTTATTTTCGATTTTGGTCAATTATTCCTCAATAAAACGAGACAGTGATCCGAAATTACGTATTGGGGGGTTTGTTGAGGCGAGAAATACATATTCATTCACGGATTGATATTACTTCGCGTGTGAAAGAAACATAGTTGTCGATGAAAGGCAATTAAAATAGGCTCTGTGAAGTAGGAAGGCAAACTTGAAGCACAAAAGTTAAATTTTACGTTCTCGTTTAGTGCTTCGTTAATGCTTCAATGTGCTTCAATCCCCAAATTAGCAACCCTCGTATTTTCGGAGATATTTTGGTTTTTTGAAATCGCCTGCTCACTTCACACCCAGCAGAAACAAGGGAAGCACCAACGTTCAGTTGGAGATAAATGGTTAGCGCTTCGTTAGTACTTCAATGTGCGTCGATTCCCAAATTAGCAACCCTTGTATTTTCGGAGATTTTTCGGTTTTTTGAAATCGCCTGCTCACTTCACACCCAGCAGGAGCAAGGGAAGTACCAACGTTCCAGTTACAGATAAATGGTTAGAGCTTCAATCCCCAAATTAGCAATCCTTGATTTTCAGAGATATTCCGGTTTTTAGAAATCGCCTGCTTAGTTCATACATATAGCAGGAGCATTGGAAGCACCAACGTTCAGTTGTAGATAGATTGTTAGTCCTGCTCTATAATATTTGTGATAAGATGAATATAACGGCTGCTCAAAAGAGAAACTAAGGCCCGGTTTATTCACCTTCTGATCAACTATGACAGATCGTAAAAATAGTTTTCGTTCAATCCGCTTAAAGTTAACGTTAAGCCGAATTCGACAAACATAACTTATCTTTAATGGTTTCTGTTTATCATTGTGTTTATATACTTACTGTACTTTGTTTTAATTTTCTAGTACCCCAAATTAATTAATTTTCCCTGTGGGCTTCAGAAAATTGGCTAGGTACTACAAAAGCCTATTTAGATGCATCGTCATATGGGTTGTTGGCCAATATTTCTTCTAATAAAATAATAAATAATATTGTCCTCATCCGTGAAACGATTTCTCGATCCTTTGAGGAAATTTGGCATTGAATCTATTTCGAAAACGAAAAATGTTTAAAAACAAAAACAAACCACAACAAAAACATAGGAAATACGCATGCTTTCCGTTTTCGCTATGGTTTTGTCTTGCGTCCGTAAGCTCCCGGCACTTATCGTTAACGATAACGATAAATGACAGCTCAAATGTCAAATTTGTCAAATAGCGGCTATCGGAATCGCTTTTAAAAGACAACGAAAACTCTCTATTGAAACACTCATGAAGCACTAACAATCTATCTATTACTACTAAACGTTGGTGCTTGCAATGTTTCTGCTATGTGTGAACCAAGCAGGCGATTTCTAAAAACCGGAATATCTCTGAAAATTCGAGGGTTGCTAATTTGGGAATTGAAGCACGTTGAAGCATTAACGGAGCACTAACCATTTATCTGTAACTGAACGTTGGTGCTTCCCTTGATCCTGCTGGGTGTCAAGTGAGCAGGCGATTTCAAAAAGCCGAAATATCTCCGAAAATATAAGGGTTGCTAATTTGCAGATTGAAGTACCTACATGATGGAAGCATCAAGTATCTATCTACAACTACTAAACGTTGGTGCTTCCAATGTTCCTGCTTTGTGTGAAATGAGCAGGCGATTTCTAAAAACCGGAATATCTCTGAAAATTCAGGGGGTTGCTAATTTGGGAATTGAAGCACATCGAAGCAATAACGAAGCACTCACCATTTATCTGTAACTGAAAGTTGGTGCTTCCCTTGTTCCTGCTGGGTGTGAAGTGAGCAGACGATTTCAAAAAACCGGAATATCTTCGAAAATACAAGGGTTGCTAATTTGGGAATTGAAGCACATCGAAGCAATAACGAAGCACTGACCATTTATCTGTAACTGAACGTTGGTGCTTCCCTTATTCGTGCTGGGTGTGAAGTGAGCAGACGGTTTCAATAAACCGAAATATCTCCGAAAATACAAGGGGTTGCTAATTTGGGGATTGAAGCACATTGAAGCCCTGACGAAGCCCTTACCATTTATCTGTACCTGATTGTTGGTGCTTCCCTTGTTCCTGCAGGGTGTGAAGTGAGCACACGATTTCAAAAAACCGAAATATCTCCGAAAAAACAAGGGTTGCTAATTTGAGGATTGAAGCACATTGAAGCACCAACGAAGCCCTAACAATTTATCTATACAACTGAACGTTGGTGCTTTCCTTGTTCCTGCTGAGTGTGAAATAAAACGACGATTTCTGAGAACCGATTTTTTTCTGAAAATAAAATATAGGGGTTGCTAATTTCGAGGTTGAAGCACAATAAAGCACTAACGAAGCACTAACCATTTATCTGTAATTGAACGTTGGTGCTTCCATTGCTCCTGCTGGGTGTGAAGTGACCAGGCGATTTCAAAAAACCGAAATATCTCCAAAAATACAAGGGTAGCTAATTTGGGGATTGAACCACATTGAAGCACTAACGAAGCACTAACCATTTATCTATAATTGAACGTTGGTGCTTCCCTTGCTCCTGCTGGGTGTGAAGTGACCAGGCGATTTAAAAAAACCGAAATATCTCCGAAAATACAAGGGTTGCTAATTTGGGGATTGAAGCGCATTGAAGCACTAGCGAGGCGCTAAACGATTACGTAAAATTTAACTTCAAGTGTGCCTACCTACTTCACAAAGCCATCAAAATAACAGCTGATTTTTGTTGAAGTTATTTTTGCACTCGAGAACTGTCTGAGAATTGAGAATTTCATTTTATGATGGTGAGGTCAAATATTATTCACTATTAGAAAAAAGAATATTGAGTCTTTATCAGACTTTATTTACCATGATAGAGGCTGTTGGTTTACTACAAAAGTCCGAAGTGTGCTCCTAAAAAAACGAAATGAATAATATTGAACGAAACATACACATTAAGTACCTACCTAAGCATTTGAAAATAATCTCAATCGCTACAGACTTAAGAGGTTGCTTTTTTTAAATGGATTGATCAAATGTAATTTTAATTATATGCATTAATAAATTGACCTTTATTGAGCTTATAAAACAAGAATGGGTAAATTGTTTGTTGAGAATTATATTGAGCAGCGAAAATCATTTAGCTTTGAAATTCTATTTTTATAATAATTCTATTTCGATTGTATATACTGATGTGGATTTTGTACTGACCCAAACTGCGCAAACTGACTCCAATCTCTATTATGCAACCCTCGATGCAACCAAATATACAATTTTACGTTTATTGAATATAACATTTCTATCCACTCATACAATTGCGGATAATTTAACAGAATTGCAAATGTCGGACCGAGTGTCGGAAGCTGGAGTATGTAGTGAGAGAACAAACATGATGTATTAAAAATAGACATATCAACATGAAAAAAAAATAGTTCTTATTGTAGGTAGTAACAGTAACCAAATTGGCTCTATAGCTTAACCTGTCCTTATTCAGCTTCTGTACAAAATAGGATATTTCATAAAATTCTTTGGCCTAGTAGGTATAGATAGAGACAATGAATAAAATCCCAATAGCAAACCTCTATAAACACACACCGTTGTCTATCCATAAACAAGACATTTTCTCATCCTTTCGTGGTTTTATTTGATGCTCGGTATAAACAAACTCTAATTTTAGTCCCCCTCGACATCTTCAATTTAACAAACATACATGTGTACCACCATTAAGACTAATTTCCATTCGCCATCACAAAATGCAATATCATTATCGTCATTAAGTTGATGATAAATAGATATATCTCTGAAGTTTCAACCGCGTAATAATTTTTTCATTTAATGTTGCTTGATGGTAGATCCGAAGGCATTCTTCTTTTTGTACATAAATATTTACCATAACGTCGTTGCGGGATCACTTATGAATGCGGATGATGTTAGGTAATGATCTTAAGGAAAAAAATTAATGGGATATGTAATATGGGTATTTCCTAATAAATAACGTCGTGAGAAAGAGAAATTTAAATGATTTGTTGCTAACTAATTTATCAATTTATAAGATAATGGATAATTAGTTAATTACACGCGTTATAATAAGGTATTTTTGATTTAAATCAATAGTTAGTTTGGTAATTATTGAATTTTCAATTTCTACTCGAATTAATTTCCTTAACTCATTTAATCAAGAAATTTTGACTGTCATACTCATTAGTCATTAGGGACTTAGGGAGAATGTCAGTGTATCAGAAAATCTAGTTTTGTTTATTCGAATAGGTAGGTACCTACCAAACTCTGACTTATTTTGTTTCTTTCCGTGAAAGACGTTCTTTAATATATCTATCTAATAAGGCATAATAATATAAAATCAAATCTGACTCGTCGATACAGCTTGATACAGCATAGGCATTATCTCTCCTTTCGTGTAGCTATCCAATTTCTTGATTTCTTTATTATTTTGCCCGAACTAAATTAAATCAACAGTATTTCGTCACATTCCAATTTCCACTCCAGCAAAACCGAAAATCCTCCAAAATAGTTTTAGATTATTTCCGCCGCACCAAAAAGGAATCTAATAAAGAACTTGAGGATGTAAGGAACTTTCTTTCGATTTATATCTTTAACTTCGCAATTTTAAAGTTCTGATTGGAGTTTTTCTGGTGGGGCGAAACTATAGAACGATTAATTATTTTTGATTGTGAAAGTTTTCCGGTGAACTAATGAGAAATAGATTGGTTTGGAAATCAAAGAATAAATGAAGAAGGGAAATAATAAATATTATAAATGTAAAGTTTTTTTGGGATTCAATCAAATAACTCGGAATATTTTTAAAAACCAGTTAATAATCATTAGAACCATATATAGCCTCAGGCTATGTTTTATTAGCCATAAATATTTTATTATAATCAATACAGCGTGGATTGATCATAAATTCACCTTGAAAGGAATTTCCATAAATATGCTAGAAATCACTTACCTCCTTTTTCAGCATTAGTAATCGTCACCCAAAAATCAATGGTTTTCTCTGGGCCCAGTTCCTCATAGTCCCACTTCTTTCTTACTTTGACCGAACCATTTGGTTCGACGATAACCCAGCTGTTTTCGTCTCTGATTTTAAAAGTTTCCTTTTCAGTTTCCTTTTCCAATTGAAACACGACACGGCCTTCAGTCTCTCCTTCGGTTTCCTTGAATTCGATTCGTTTTGTTGGACGAACTGCACGAGTCACTCGACGTTTTTCACGATGAAGAATATGATCTAGAACAAAAGTTTTGGATTGCTTAAAATTATTTTTGTAAAATGGTCAAACATTTAGTAAATAACTCGAATGCTATTCAAGCCAAAAGATAGTTTCTCCTCTTTCTTAAGTGATTGAGTGATTCTACGATTTTTCTATTTTCTACAGAAACTAATATCTTTAACTGTTCAGTCAAACTTTTTAATGGTTAATTTTGCTTATTTTTTTCCCCTTTTCATTAGCTTCTGTCATCCATCCTCTTATGACACCTACATTTTTATTGAAAGAAAATACAAAAATTGTTTCTTTTTCATAAGACTTGTTCAATGATAAGCTAGGAAAGTGAAAATATCGAATAAATTAAAAAAAAAAAAACATGTTCGTATAATTTTATTAAATACATGAAAAGTTGAATGAGCTAAAAAAAAACATGTCTCAAGCAAAACTAAACAGCCCCAAACATAAATGATCCCCTGAGGACAAATCACTATGATCTTTGATCCTTCAGAAAGGATAAGCAATAAATTTGTCAACCGTTTTGAAAGAGAAACAATCACACCTTAAAAAATCATTGCAAACCTTAACTTGGTTATGTTTTGATTGATCCTGAACATGATAATGGACAATTCGAGACAACATACAAGGATATAATTCTTGTGTAAACTCTAGCAATAATAAAAAACTATATATCTTTTACCTTCTTCCAAAGTCTGCAAATCCAAATCGGCACTATCCTCGGGAGGCTTAAAATGGAAAATTACTTGCGCCGGTCTAGGTGACGTCCTACTAGGCATCCTCAAATCGTGCGACTCGACCACCAGTTCCAATTCAACTTCCTCGATAGGCTCCAAAGCAAGCAAAAGATCACCGGTTTGAGGCACGATCACTAGGAAACTCGTCGGAGTCACAAGTTTGTAGGCTACTTTGTCGCCATCGGCATCTGTGGCTTCTACTTTGCCTATTGATGAGAATCGTTTCCAGTTCGTAGTGACATTGTCACCTTCCAAACTATCATCTCCAACAATAAATCTGTAGACTTTTTGCGTGAACACTGGACTGTTATCGTTCTCATCTTGCACCTCTATGACTATATTTGTTACAGCTTTATTTATGCCATTAGAGTCGCTTGCTTGGATGGTGAGCACATATCTGGCCATGATTTCTCTATCCAAAACTTGAGCTGTAACAATGTAAACTCCTCCCGAGTTATCCACAGTAATATTTGGCATATTTTCTCCAGTAATACTGTTTCTCAGCTCAAAAGCTTGCTCAACATTTCCAGCAATAATACTATAAGTAACTGGAAAGTTGTGGCTTCCAGAAGCTTGGGTAAGGCTTAGCCCAGCTATTCTAGTTCCAGTAGGTTGATTCTCGAAAACTCTTCCAACAATTTCCTCGCTTTCGTCCTTGAATTGCAACATATTGCTCCTATCCAAAACATACAATTGTACTTTATGCTTTTTGGTGCAATTACCATCGTTCTCCAAAACTAAAAGATCCACGGGTCGATCCTTTAAAGGACTCACATCGCTAACAGTCATTATAGAGCCGTCCTGCAGCATTGTGAAGAATTCGCTAAAGCTAGAATTGACTAGAGTGTAGTGTTCGTTGAACTTTTTTACGCTGTAACCTGGATGCGCATCGTGTGGTATCACCGAAACTGTATCTGATTTCGCTGATGATAAAATTGTGATGGCCACTAGAGCCATCGCCTGCAGTGACATGGTCATGGCGACCTGAATTATAGTTTCCTAGTTTCAGCTGGTGATTGACATTGGAAGAAATCCTTTTGGACCTGGAAAAGAAGAGAGGGGTGTGAATTTGAAAATTGTTTTCAAGAATCTAGTCTTCTAGTCAAGAATCTTAAACTTATACCAGAATCATACACTTTTACAGACTCTTTTGTTTTAAACAAGGCATTTCAAAAAGTTTAAGATCTTGGGATAGTTTTGGTTAGTTAGTTATTCAACGCCATTCAGCGCCAAAACCATTCAAATTATCTTAGTACAAGGTCCTTTTAGAATAAAAGCTCTAAATATCTCTAAAATAATCATAATTTAATGCTATTCATGTCAAATTAAAATTAAATTAAAGTGTAATATTCAAAATAATCCTCATCGGTATTCACTACAGCGCTAACCACGCTAATAGCAACGTTCCTAGCTCCCAGTAGAGTGATTTATGGATCAGAGTAAAAACGCTGAAGGCTAAAAAGGCCTACAAATCACACGGATCGCTCTGGAATATGCTAATTTAAGTTCTGGTCATTGGCTATTCTAAATTATTACCTACCAGAGACTAGAGGGCCAATAGAATTTTTATCGGGTAGCTATGGTTTATTTTACGCCACGGAATGAGTTAAAACGCGTTTTATCAATATAATTCCCATAATCTTTCTAATTTCATGCCATAAAGATATATAATCATCACCGCAAATTGCATAAAATTAGTTTCAGCGCTATTGAAGTGAAAACTTTAAATGATGGGGGTCTGGTTAATATTGTGGTCTGTCGGGTGCGAAGCAAAGATTGATTTATTTTTTACTACGAAAAAATTTAAATTAAAATAATAAGTTAAAATCCCACACGAAGCTTTAAAAAAAAAGACCACTCGTTATATAGGTACCGCCTATATTTTACATAACTCCACGTTAGAACAAAACATCGTGGTAGTTTAAAGGACCGGAATTATCCCGATAGTAATCAGTCAGATAAATTTAACCTAGAGCTTATTACACGATTTAAACGAAGGCTTCTTATTGCTACTCGAAAGACGTTATTAACTTTAATAAGGTTCAGTAAACCCCTTAATTTGGTAAAAGAGATGAGATATATTCCTAGAAGAACCCGCATGATGGTTATTGTCAAAATGATGAGTGGCTTGAGGCTTTGCAATACTCGAAGGAAATTTGATATGATGGTTTTGGCCAATGTCTACCCTAAAGAAACGGTGAAATTTTAACGAGATGACGATGCCTTCATGGCCTACAGGTATCGGCACAGCACTGTTAGTGGAGTATTTTGTTCAAGCATAACGACACCACACTTTTTATAGTTAATGACGAGCTTGATAAAATCGTAATAGATAAAACCCATATTGCAGATGATGTCCCGTAATGAGGCCTGCTATTAAATTTAAATGCTCATGCGATAACAACTAAGTACTCTATACCTAACCTACCTATCCTACTGATTTCCAGTGGAATAAGATATATCTATTCTAGGGGTTTGAATCACTGAACAACAGAAATTATTTTCCTCTTTTACTGTTCCTGTTGTTGAAAACAATTAGTATTCGTGCATTGGCGATTATAGCCATATATTTTAAAGAATAGAATTTAAAATTATCGTTGAAGTAACAGCAGATTGAATAAATTTAAATATACTCTGAACCAGTAGTGGAATTCTAATGGAAAGAATCGTCCGCTTAAGCCATCAGGTAAATTTTATCGAGTTAAAGTTGTAAAGCATGGATGCCCCTTTTTCAATAAGACATTTTGTTGCAGGCTTCACTTCATATTTAATTCATCATATTTACTTTATCTCAAAAGCCGCTTTAATCCATCTTCAATTCGTCGGTTAGTTCTTTAAATTATTACTATGAGTTCTGATGTAGGTACTTTTGAACATATTGCGGCTTTAGTTTTGGAGAAACTACCCACAATAGTTCTTTAGAGTCCCTTTTCTTTGAATAAATTGAATAGACTCCATTTGGCGGTGAAATTACCTTTTTTCTGGCAGGCGTTGCTAATGTTAGTGATTGCATCAAGGAATTTGTGTTGAGACTAAGTGGATGTTCCAGTCTGCTGATTGATGGAAATATCCTACGATTTAATCCAGGAGATTTGATGAAAATTAGCTGCACAAGTTAATTAACTCCGCTTTTAAAATCTCCTTATAAATTCGCTCGTAAAAACTCCATTTTCCGAAAATCTTATCTACCTACTTAATTTGTACCTAAATTTAAGCTAAGTATTAAATTCCAATAGTCAAATTGTTTGTTGTTTCAACTTTTTAAATTTACGGTTTGTCCATTGAAAATTCCTCGGATAATTCAATATTTTTTATGTAGTATGTAAGGGTTTTGATTAATTGAGTTGAAATGAGGGGTTTGTTGGTATATTTTTCATCAGTTTATTCGATTTTTTTCAATTTCATTTCAGAACAAGTAATTTACATTGTGAAGCAAAGGATGCATTTTATGTATGTTCATCCAGTAAATTCTAAAATTTGCTTTCGCAGTTTTCTCAAAGGTTATTTAGTACCTTTATTTCTTAATTTTTAATATTAATCACCTACATAATTAGGTAAATTAGAGGATTTTGTTTTGCTGATTGCTGATTGACTTTCTGAAGCCAAGGATAAGAATTTATAGACGGAACATAATCTTATTGTTCGTAAGAATTTTACTTGATTAAAATAAATAGATGATTTAAAACTATTGTTCCTATTTCTTTTCCATTGGCCTTCTAAGAAAGTCCTCGTTCATTGGCTACCTAAAATTAGCAGCTCGATGATAAAAAACTAAGATAATAACTTATCAATATTTCAACATCCAACCCGATAAATGAATTGCACCAGGAATCAAGAATAGGTCGTCTTCATGAAAATCTTCACCATAAACATTAACCCTATTGGGAACAAAAAAACAGAAATCCTAATAATCGCGGAAAAAGAATCAATTTACGAAATTCTTATTTAAGAACCCAAAATTGTCGTTACCAAGATTTTAGGAAAGACCGTCCAACTATGGCATCAAAGGAGAAATATATGTACTACCGGAACTTGAACAATCTTGTTTGATCCACAACACCTTGGAACGTTTACCATCGGCACAGTTGTTACAACCTTCTTCAAAAATTCAAATTGATCTCCAGCAAAATCCATCAGCCCGGATGGATGAGGGAATCCTGATTCGCAGCGACTCGAACGATAAATGTGAAAACTGGGCTGCAGAAGTCAAGTCATCATGCCTTCAACCATCTCGCAGCTCACTTCAACTATAACATTATAAGCCCAGAAGAATAAAAACCAGTTACTCTACTCACAAAAGATTTTCATTGATAAGAACGACAGAAAATTCGACGCACAGGTATTTTACGAATATTCAGACCACCACCTCGTCGTAATCAAACAGGGCTACCCGAATAATTTTTACAAAAGAATCTACAGACTCATCCATCTCTTCATAATCCTTGAGAAAGTGACCAAAAAAATCATCCTAAACATAGTTGCTCATATATGGGGCAATAATTTGCTCCCCGAGGAGTTTGGGTTCAAAAGAAGCCTCCCAATGGATAATCAGCCAATTAGTCTCTGACATACTGAGAAACTTCTTCCGTAGATTTCACATCGGTGCAACATACTTTGAGAACTCCAAGGCTCTTCACAAGGTATGACATCATAATTAATAATCAAAAAAATTTTGAATCTTTCATTCTCACCGCAACTCATCAAAATCCCCTTAGTTTCTTGGAAAACAGGAAATTTCTGGTGGAATCGGATAATTGCACATTAGGTACCAATAAAAGCGGGGTGTAACCTTAGGTGTAACCCATATCCCATTATAATCAATTTGCCTTTTCGCTGACGAAAATCATCACTTCCGCTTCATCTTCCACCAGCTATATCACGCTTTGCCTGAAGAGGCACATGTCTCTAGAAAAGTGGATGAGCTACTGGAAGATCAATAACCTAACCCCAAGAACACCAAACTAATTCTATTTACCGTGGGAAGCCCAGCCCGGCGATGCACTTTTTTGTTATAAGTATAAATCCTAAACACGACTTCTATGAGGAAAAATTTGATAGAGAAAATTCTAGTAAAATTTTGTATAAAACTCGGAACAAAAACAATCCTTTCAATCAATATAAATACATAGATACATATTTATAGCCGCAAATTAATTTGATTACCTCCGAAAGACCCGTTGTCAAATTATTTTCCACTCAACCGGTCAAATAATGCACGTGTTGTTGACCCGAAAATTTAAACATTGCTGAAGTAATAAATGCGGCAAATCAACATTTTATTTCATAACACGCAAGACAAGAGACGTGCGTTTAATTAAAGCTTTTCAACAAAACAAACAAATCGTAGAGGTTTATTTGAATTTCGACTCGATCAATTAAATAAATAAAAATATGAACGAACTTTGAATTCTTCTTAGTCCAATAATCAATTAAAAGTAAGTGCACTAAAGGCCGTATAAAAAGCACACATAAAATCTAATGTCAATTTACGGTGTTTCGATGTGTGTTCCTACCAGTAATAAAAATACCTCAACACCCACGTTTCCTGAAGATAGTTTTTAAGATTTTTCCGTTATTTAAATCTCTTGTTTTCGATGTGCGTTTTAAAAATAAGCCTATGGTCTAGAAGATTTATTGAATTACTGTATTGGTTTGATAAGCAATATATTTTATGCTTTAGGTTTTAGATACACCTTCAGGAATACCGAATAAACCCTACTTTCCACACCATTTTGTTCTAAAACTATTTATTTAATATTGAATATTGGAAGGTATACAGCTTCGTCTCCAAATACCAGACTTCAAAGGATGAAATCCAGCGGCGCTGGATCTGGCGCTATCCAATCCAGAGGGCCTGATTCTACAATCAAAAAAATTACCATCGTTAGGTCAACAATTAAGTTATTGTTGACATTATTCATGTTTGAATCACAAATATTATATGTCATTGCTGAGGTAACTTATAGATTGTTAAATAA